CTGCCCCTCCCTGCACCGCCCCTCCTTGCGCACCTGTTGGGGCGCGCCCCTCGCGACCATCCCTCAGCCTGTCTAGCTGTCTAGTGCAGACAGACTCTTGAACCTATGCCGTTTCTCCGAAAGAATGTTTAGCACACACAGAACAAGTCTAAACTACTCGCACTTCATGAAAAATTCACCCTTTCCCCTCTGAATGTTTGAAGTGTTCTTTTTCTCGTCCCAGCTAAGCGTGAAAAAATGAGTCAGTTGTCAGTACACTACTTATCTGGACTCCTCCCTCACGTACTACTCACCTGCAGAGCGGACGGGCTCTCCGAGATGATGTCCGAGGCCTCCTTGAGGGCCCTGGAGGCCTTCATTTCTCCCTCGGCCGCGATCACCTTGGCGCGCGCCTCTCTGGCGGCCTCGGCCTCCGCGGCCATGGCGCGCTGCAGCTGCACCGGCAGCCGCACGTCCTTGCTGCGGGGCGCATGTGCACAGTGAGGGCGCGGGCTGGGCGCGGGCCACCCGGGGCCGCAGGGATGGGGCCGGAGCCCGGGGCCGGAGCCCGGGGCCGGAGCCCGCGGGCCCGGAGCCCCCACGCCCCTTGCGAGTTCCGGACGCGGCGGGGCGCCTCTTGCAAAGACCCCCACGCCGTCGTCGTGCCCGCGGGCCTCGGGCCATGTTTCCGTAAGCCTCGTTTTGTTCAAGATTTTCTTACTCTATATAGTGGCCACCATAATGTCGCCAGCGGAAGGAAAGAGAGAGTCGATCACTCTTCCAAAATAACGTTTCAACCCGGAAGTATGGCGTTCCGGGCGGAAGTGTTATTCCGGTGGTTTTTCTACGCTCTTTGATCTTTCCCCGCAGACGACATATTCCCCTCCAAGGCGCCACCCCAAGGCAACGTGGGGTCAGTGACGGCAAAAAAGCAATACTAAAACACAGCTGTTTTCCGAAGCGTTCCAAAATGTGTGGCAGGCTTTGAACCCACGCCTGTCAGGGAGGCACATCATCTCGCCTTGATGGGGCAAGAGCCTGGACCGTGGCATGACTGGTCGCACGTACGTACACGTACGCTTGGCCAGGTGCCAGGGCGGCCCGGCAGTCGCGGGTTCAAGCCCCAATAACTCTCAGCTCGGCCCCTGCTCCGTCATGAGGGCTCATTCAGACACTACCTGGGAATAATAAATATTATCGGTCCCCATTAGGTTCACGATCGCCATTAGAGTTCAGCAACGCACCCCATGATATTCGTATCTCAAGGTAAAAATATCATGGGTTACCTATGAACTACAATAGTAAACCTGAACATAATACAGTACAGACCAATAGTAGGTCGTACTATTTGTACCCCCCCCCCCTTTAGGGCATGTAGTATCAGAGCGATCCCTCATAAAAGCTGGAGAAGGGGCGATTTTTTTTTTTTACCGTCATCGACCCCCATTTCATTCTTGGGCGAGGAGTTGCGTTGGAAATACGGTTCGACTTACATTTCCACTCGCTCCACCTTGACGCCCCAGGGATCGGTGGCCTCGTCGAGGCTGGACTGCATGTTGTGGGAAATGGCTTCGCGCTCAGACAGGATCTCGGACAAGTTGCGCGTGCCGAGGACGTTGCGCAGTGTAGTTGCGGCCAACAGGCGGGTGGAGTGGCTGCACACCAACAGGACCAGCTTAGTTGTTATCTTTTTCCCATTTTTTATTTTGCTTTAACTGTCTCCCTTTTGTTTTGATTGGCTATCGCTAAAATATGGCTAGCTTAAAAGATGCTCTTAAAACTGTTCGGACCGTTCTTAATTTGTTTTGAATTCAGTGAGCGATGCGTTTTTTGTTGCTGAGATTGTTATAGACTCTGCGTCAAGCTAATTGTGTTGATGGAAGCAGAGAAACTGGGGAAAAAGTTTCACCCCTTCCCACAACGGCATCTCATTACAATCGCGGCATATCTACTGCGGAGCGGACTCCACAGCGACAAAACTTTCATCCCTTAACCAGAAAACTTTACATTGAATTGGTCCGCATGCCGAATAACAAAAGGAATCAATACCAAAATGAACGATCTCCTCAAGGAATGGAGGAAACGATTTCGCCGCTGAGGACTTCCATCCATATTGCCCCCAAACCAAATCAGAGAAGTGCTAGCGCCACCAGACCTTCGTTTCGGCGGGCAATAAAAAGCAGGTTAATTGAATGAAAAGTTTTTCTTGCTCATGTAAAAAAATCTTAAGGTGAAAAAAATTCTTTGATTTTAGAAGATTCGTTGCAGTCTATCCTACTCTTTTTGTTCTCCTTCACCCCTGTTCCTCCTGATGCACAGCCACAGTCCACCAGCGAGGTGGCTGTTCGTCCAGCAACCGGATTAGAACCATATGGTTCTAATCCGGGCGAGAGAGGCTCACAAGATCTATAACCGAGTGACGTACACGTCTATATACAGACCGATACAGACAGGTAGGGCCTCGCAGAGAGTGCACCAGAGCGAAGACCAGGACTCTCTGCGAGGTCCTCTCAGTTATAAAGTATCCGATCTGACCACGAAAATGATAAAGTTGCATGCACAATGAATTAGGGTGAGACATTCTGTAAGCATGAGGCAGTTTTGAGAAGTGCTCAGCGAACTAACATCAAACAAGATTGGGGGAGTTCTTAGGAACGGGGCAAGCGAAATAGTGGAGCCGTGAATGCGCGAACGAACAGACTACGTTAGCTAGCTCTTCTAGCGCGCGTTGACTGCTGCGCTCACTTCGTCACGCGCTATCACATTCACCTCGCCGTTCCTGAGGACACCCTTTCCCCCCGACGGATGGCCTCCCAAGAGTGAGGGTTTTCTTAGAAACAAAACAGTATGCAAGCGTCAGTTTCAGAATCCAAAACTACTGTATGTAAAAGGAAGGGCCTTCATGCTTGGAGAATTTGAACACAGCGAGGTCCAGCTCATCATTCATGCTTGAGAGGTTCTCAGTTTTACAGTGCAACTACAGAAGACAAGCACTCTTAGTTCCTTACAAGGAATGGCCTTCATATTACGAAGAGTTAGGTTTGTAACGTAAGGATCTGGAACCACCATATTACAAACGGATTTTCTTCGTATTAAAAAGAGCACCAGTTTCTGAAGAGACGCGTGCTCTTCGTATTACAAAGCCGAGCCCTTTGTAATACAAAGAATTTGTTTGTATTACAAAGGTTCCAAATGCTTTGTACCCATTGTATGTTACGAAGACCAGTTCTTTGTAAGAAACTTACAGTGAGGGCAGGGCCGACCAAGGAATCCGTCAAATGCGTGCATTTTGTCAACATGAAATACTGCTAGAGGTGATTCAAAAATGAATTATTTATACTCCAAGTAGATCCTTGGGTCGTATATTTAAAAATGTTTTTTTTTTAGCTCTACCACAGTTTTAGGTTTTTATTAATTTTTATTTGACCTTTACGCGTGAAGGTAGTATTCAACACGAAGCATAAACTACCCCAAAAGAAAGCGACGCCACCAGAAGCATGTTTAGGCCCGCGCTTCGGAGACTCGTATTTGCCCATGGAACAGTCTGACTACTTTCCAGCTAGTTTTGGTCGACGGCAGCCGCGGGAAGATACACATAAATACATGCTATGATAGTAAAGAACAAGAGAGGTATTACTTTATGTAAATGTTTAAAATCCATGATTTTAAAATGTTGGCAGATCCTAAAACGTCGAAGGGAATGCAGACTCGAAATGAAGACGACAGGAATGGGATACTCGACTCAGTCAACTTGCTGACGTAACCAATGCCCTGAACTATCCTTCGTGACAATAATGTGACGCGAAGTGGAGCAAAGGAGGGGAGCACAGTCGCCAAATGCCAACTCCGTTTCGTAGTGTGAATGTCGTTTTCGACGTCTCTTTTCCATCCTGATTGTTGCGCAAGTCGCTTCACAGGGTGAGCCCGCGGCGAGGACCTCACGGTGAGGAGAGGAGCAGACAAAGTTCGCAAAAGGAATCCGACAACTTTCCGGGTTCCTGCCTTTGCTCCGGGCTTGGCTTGGGGCCCCGGGCTCCGGGCCTTGGCTTGTCACGTTTCGCGCTCCACATTCACGTCGAGATTCACGTCGAGATCCACATTCACACTCGAGCGTGCTTTTAATCAACGCTGATAAGAGGGGCAAGTTGCTAGGGTAGATCCCATCGCATCCCCAAAACTTTGAATCCAAACTTTTCGCGGTGCTTTTGAGCAGTTTTACCTGTAGTTGCTGACTCTAACGACGGCATTCAGGGGTTCCTTGATGTAATAATAGATTACGGCATCCACACTGACTGTGACGGAGTCCTTGGTTAGCACCTGCCACACAGCACGAGCATATAGCCGCTCACTACAGGATCACAAATACAGACAGACAGGGCAGGCGAGACTCGGGTGAGACGAGATGGGACCAACCACACAGCATGGCGCTGTCTGCAAAACAAATTCACCCCAATTCCAGCTAAGGTAAATAGAAGGAAGAAATAAAGGTCTCGGGAACACGCCCGCCCCTCGGGACAGAGCACAGGCGGGGAGGCGCTGCAGCCGCGGCGGCGTGCGCACACAGATTCAGAATGACCCCACACCGGCACCGTCAAGTACATTGAAAGCGAATCAAGGACATTGCAAATATGCGAGCTCGTTTCGTGGTAAATTCACGAGTCTAGTTAATCGTTGACTTATAAAAATTATGAAGACAACTCGAATACATTCTCAAAAGAAATTACATAGAAAGTACGGAAGGGAAAATTCTTTTCCGAAAATTTAAATTGAAAAGACATCCTAGAGCAGCATAGGTTTGTTGAAAAAGAATCAATTCAGATTGTTATTCACCCATTTTTGTTGAATTCCGAGTAAATACGCAGTCGTGACAACAACAAAAACAACATTATTGGCG